AGCTCGTTTCCCGTTGCCCGGGCTAACTCATATTCCGGACACGATGCAATATGCATGATATGCATGAAATGCAATTAATATACAATCCTAACATACACAATGTTATGAAAGTGAAATGCCTCGAAATGCGTGTACCCAGGCACGCAAACCGAGAAAATGACAGAATGCAAGAAAATGAGGGTGCCTCGAAATGCATGCACGCGGGACGCAAACAGAGGCAATGGTAAAATGCTTATAAATGAAGTGTCTCAAAATGCGTGCACACGGGCACGCAAACCGAGGCAATGCTATGTTGTCTCGAAATACGTGCACGGGGCACGCAAACTGAGGCAATGATATAATGTCTCGAAATACGTGCACGCGGGCACGCAAAATGAGACAATGCTATGTCTCTCGAAATACGTGCACACGGGCACGCAAACCGAGGCAATGACAGAATATGATGAAATGATATGGAATGACAAATGGGCTTATTACCAAACATGAGTGAGCCTCAGCCACACTCACATGGGATGCCGATCGGATAAAAATGAAGTGCCTCGAAATGCGTGCACGCGGGCACGCAAACCGAGGCGATGCAAAAGCGATGCGAATGACATGGAAAATGCAACATGGACTTATACTAACATGAAGAGAGCCTCAGCCACACTCACAATAAGATGCCGATGGCAGAAAATGAAGTGCCTCGAAATGCGTGCACACGGGCACGCAAACGAGGCGATGCAAAAGCGATGCGAATGGACAATGGAAAATGGCAAAACTGGACTTATACTAACATGAGAGAGCCTCAGCCACACTCACATAAGATGCCGATGGCAGAAATGAAGTGCCTCGAAATGCGTGCACACGGGCACGCAAACCGAGGCAATGCATACGCAATGCAAATGACATGGAAATGATGTATGGACTTATACTAACAATGAGAGAGCCTCAGCCGCACTCACATAAGACGCCGATTGGCAGAAAATGAAGTGCCTCGAAATGCGTGCACACGGGCACGCAAACCGAGGCAATGATGAAATGTGATGCAACATGGCAAAAATGAATATGCAAGCATGCTAATGGAATTTCCAGCAACAAAACAAGGGGAAAACAGCCCCGGGATGAGGCGAAATGATATGAAATGCAAGGAAATGTCCGAAATGCAACATTAAGCCACCCGAAATGCCTATAGCCATCGCTAAATATGCACAACATGGACATGCAATGCAAATACAGAAACTAGAAAGCCCCAAGATAAGCACTTTTCAGTTATAAACAATGGCCAAACAAGCAAATATAGGTATGGCAAAAATAAGCATACAAGAATAGGGGCCAAGATAGGGTAATGAAGCAAGTGGTATAAGCTAAACCGAAACTGAAAAATTTCCTTCTACAACACTGAAGATTGGA